TTTAATATACTACACTATAATAATTCACCAGAATATACTATAGTATGCTACAATACACTAATGTGCTATAATACACTACAAAATACTTGAAGCCAGCTTAGGATAATCAAGTCTCGAGTGCCTCGGCTGGAGCAGCGGCGTCGTCAGCATAGACGTTCGGCATGGTTTCAAAACGGCGTTGAGCCCAACGTAGCCAAACCAAGGGAAACAAAGTGACTTTCTATAGCGTTTTTCAAATCTTGAAAGCTGTAGCTGGTAGTTTGTCAGATCTAGATAGCAGCTAAGCCTCAATATGGGTCCAATGCCTACATGCTGGTCCGAAGATGCAACTAGGCTAGCGCTGATGCAGCTTTGCGGTCATGGATACATCCGCGATGGTGTGAGCCGCATAAGCTGCGCTTCATCAGCTTCGAGCACAAACAGGAACACATGGAGCACTTTATACCCGGGAGGAATGCATTTATAGTTTTCGTTGAATCCCGGCAGGCCAGGTCAGAATAGCTGCAACCACGTATTTGAATATCAGAGCTCCAGCCAGCAGAGCTCCAGAAAACCGGCTTTCAAATGCCTTTTTCTTTCATCAGGTCTAAGCATGTGGCAATGTGGCAGAATTGTGGGGGGCTTGTAAAAGTACTTGCCTTTGCTGCCCTAGTGTCAGGCCAGAAGAATACTCTGGTTTTGGACTGTTTGGAAACCACAATTCTGGCACATACCACGTATCCATGGGGTTTCCCATTAAAAAGGGATTCCTCCAAAGGATTCGGGGGAGAATCCCCCTCATATTATAAACACGCCAGTAATTCCTCCAATGGTGGCACAAGCTGAGTCTTTGCGCGCCCGTACATAAAGTCCTACGCGCCCTAACACATTCCGTTTCGGGTTGTCCCTAGATTGCCCTAGATGCATCCAGAAACCCTCATCACCAAAACAGACGGCCCACTCGAGGAGCTCACCATGCCGCATGGTAAAGTTATACTATGTACATCTGCCCGGCAGTCGCAACAGCCTGCTCATGATACCTGGATCATGCTAGTGGGGCGAGACTAAACTTCGTATGCTTGTAAGGAGAAATTTCATGTAGTAAGTTAATCCTTTAAAATGTTTCTCAACGCTTCCCCAGACACTGTCCGTACTTCTTTGCCACGGAGTTGAATGAAGGCTTTTTCCCTGGGCCGCATCTGCAGGATTCAGGGCACAAGTGACTGAGCAGTTTGCAGGTGGAAGCTTCTCTGGGACTATTTTGTTGGAGGCGTGAACTAGCAGCAACAGCAGCTAGGAAGAGAAGCCTCTGTTGGAACCCTCCAAAGTATGTTCAGCTGTCTCTTGATGGTTCAGATTGAATAGACTCCACATCATCTCCAAGATATCTATTAAAACAACTTCAAAAAAGACGAGACACATAACCGAATACCAAAGACATGGAGTTCCAACTTAAAAGGCAGAGAGCTTCGCCACGAACGCGCGTTTCCAATCACAACGGGGGCTTCCGAAAGCACCATATTGACAGTCCTTCCATTCAAAAAGCGTAGTATGAGCAAAACAAGACGCCGAACCCTAACGCTACAGGTTGAGCTCCCAGATTTCAAGTTGGGTTATAAGAGGGTTACACGTTCTAATTGGGAGAACTCGGATTGTACATCCCATGGATTGTACGTATAGTCTCTGGTCTCTTTCAGCAAATTTGCGCAACTAGGGGCTACTGCCTCTGACCCCTAAACTTCCCCATGTCCCTGTAAACCTGTTCCGAGCCTGTTCCCTCTAAGGTGCTTAGTAGGGAATGGAGAAATGCATCCTTCTAATGAAAAAAGAATGTAATAGCTTCCATCCACATTTCCCTTCCTGCGTTCCCTCAACCCTCTAGCTCGAACTCAACCCTATGTATGATTGCTTCCATGTTCTTGTCTGTTCCCTCGAACAACCAGCAAGTTGTCGCTCCTTTTGATTCTTTCTTGTTGGGATGATCTGCTCACAGCCAGCAAGTTCCAATAGTAGCTTCCATTTTCTTGACCATTCCTTCATTCGTTAAACCCTTAGCCTAAACCCTAAAACTGTAGCTTCCATGTTCTTTTCCACTCCTTCATCCCTTGAACCCGAAAATAATACCTTCCATTTTCTTTTCCATTCCTGCATTCCTCAAGACCTCAACCTTAAACAATAGCTTCGACGTTCTTTTCAATTCCTTCCTTCCCTACTCTCAACCCTAAACCCTAAACCCAAAGAAACCCTAAACCCTAAACCAGCAAGTTCCTAGGCGAGGAGCGTCTCCACGGATCCACCACGCCTTTGTGGTTCAAGCCCCCAGGCCGGTGCTCACAGCTACCTGCCAAGGCTTAGGGGTTTAGAGGGGTTTAGACACGGTTTAGGGTTTAGGGGTTTAGGGGTTTAAGGTTTAGTGGTTTGGGGTTTAGAGGGATTTAGGGTTTAGAGGGGTTTAGGGTTCAGAGTGGTTTAGGGGTTTAGGGTTCAGAGTGGTTTAGGGGTTTAAGGTGTAGAGGGGTTTAGGGTGTAGGGTTAGCATACTACGCAGACCCCCCTAGGAAGCCTTGGGATCCCGTTTTAGGGTTTAGGGTTGGCCTGAGAAATTGGTGGTTTCCTAAAACCATGGGTATCTTTTTGGGGGATCCTCATAGTAAGGATGATAGTATATTGGGGTCTATATTGGGGTCCCCTTATTTGGGAAAACTACCAATTATTAGCAGCTTCTACTGTTTGATCCCTTTTGAGGGTCCGGGTACAAGCGAGTTTCGCGCAATCGTTGGGATACGTGTTGTCATAGCTCCCGACATCAGGGAATCATATTGAGATGCGACACTTCCGGAACACATGCGCGGCTGACAAACATGGGGAAAGCTTTGGGGCTGAAAACTGTGAGCTCAAGTGAGGTATGCAGAAGGGAGCAATCACTTTGACAACTAGGTGCGTGGGGAATTGAATGCATAGGGACTTCAGGCATCACAAAGGGAGTATGAGAAAGGGTGTTGCCAATCTTGGAAGAAAACTGAAGCGTTTGCAGCTGAATGGGCATGGGTTCAGGCTTTGGCTTTTGAGGTTTGGTGCGCAATCACGTCACACGCGCCTTTAAGCCCTGAGCCAGAGTACTTCAGGATTATGGTGGGGTAGTAACATGGGAGCCACAAATTATAGCCCCCACTTAGATAGATATAAATCGATATACAAAATTATAGTGGGCAATCGATATACAAAGGTATATGGGAGGGTTGTCCTAAACCCTAAGACCTTAAACCAGCGGGATGGGACAAAAGTGAACCGTGGCCCTGCCTGACATGTTGTACCAGCCACAGGTTGGTGGTTGCACTCCATGGAGATACTGGCAAGGGCCTCCGGCAGAACAAGAGGCATACTGTCAAAGGTTTAGGGTTTTAAGGTTTAGGGTAGGGGCCTGAATAATTAGAATAAGGCTTTAAGGGCGACTTGTGCCATAACTTGATTGGGTTACAATGGGGTAAGACTTGAAACTATTCGGGCTCCTGCAGTTGGGCTCTATGGGTCTAGGGTGTGATGGTTCGGGGTGTTGGGGTGTAAGGGCCTAGTTCTCTTAAGTTCTTTTGCTGTCAGGGACCTTTGGGATTTCCAATGGTTGTAAGGGGAACAGTACGGATCGTCTAGGGGCTAAACTGGGCACTCATCACTCTTCTATCAGAAGCATCAGGTGGGCTTTCTCCAGCAGCTTGGTGTTTTGGGTGGCTCTTATCTGCCATTGTATTTTTGAGGCCATCAAGTGGTCATCTGTTCAGGAAAAACACGGCACCAAGCAAGCAGAGGCTACCGAGGCTGCTCACATCGAATAACTCAAGACCGGAGGGAACAGTTAACCAGACCCCCTAAAGGATCCAAAAAACGGACCTGCCCAATAAGAACCCATGACTACATTGCAGAATTTAGGGGATTATTAGGGGTTCCTTTGGGGTCTGGGTACACCATTACAAACATCTGAACCTGACGACTTGGAAATATTGAACAACCCTGAATTTCACACGGGCATGCATCAAACCAATCCAAAACCACAATGCAAAGTTTCTACGACATGGGCTCACTTCATTCAGTGCTACGCTTCCACCCTAGACAGTAACCTTCTGAACCTTCAAGGTCCTGAACTCTCGTGGATCAGTAGAATGAACCCCAAACCTAAAGCCTCATCTGCCAAGCCCCAACGCCTAACCCTCAACCCAGTAATAACTGCGCTTGTCTCGGATCCCCACCACAGCTCTGGGCTTCGTCGTTACCTGCGGTTCTCTTTGTTATAGCTATATGATAAAACCGGAATGAACCAGCGGCAGCACAACAGCTTCGGGGAGGCGGATGCATCACAAGGCAATGAATACAGTGCAATGTCCAGGGAGCTTGTTTAGGGATCTTGGTAGGTCTAGGAAGGTATCTGACTAGTCTGCGCGCCTGATTGCCTTCAGGAAGAAGGTGTAAGAGTTTGGCCTTCAAGTGTAGTGAGCGGTTGGTTTCATCATGCGGTTCAGAGGCTTCAGGCTGCCAAAGCCTCAAAAAGCATGTGGCCCGTACGTTGTCATGATACAGGTTTGAACCTAAACCCTCCAGTGCAGTGACCAAGTCTGCCAGGACAAGGCTCCACAGGGTTTAGGGTTTAGGGTAGGCTTATTGCAGTCCACGGTCTGGCTTCTCTGACCCAGGCGGTCAACAACGCAAAGCTCCCTCTGAAACCTTGCCTGCCGCAGCTTAATGTTCGGCAATCTTCCCCAGACAGCCAGACCGTTGGAAATCAAAAAGGTTCATCCCCACTACGAACCCAGAACCTATGTAACTTAACCCGTGCTGTAACATATAACCACTACATAGCCCTCATGTTGCCCTGGGGCATCTTGATTTCCACGCCCGTTTGAGGGCTTGGAAACCGAAGTCAAGCTTCATCCCCCGCCTCATTATATACTAGTAATCAAAAGGCATATCAGGGAATCTACGCCGCAAGCGGGTTTGGGCCTAGAATTCTATCGTTCAGCCCCCAAGAGTTCTCAAAGCGCCAAGCTACCCTTGAAGTCGAAGAAGTGCCAGAGGATGAGTCCAGAAACGTTGCTATCCTTGTTGTGTGAAGCTCAGGGCGGATTAAAGTTTGATGTAAGAAATCCTGTCTGACCAGATGCAACAGAAATCCTCAGACGTATACAAGTTGAATGGTGTTGGAATCAACAATTCAATAGCTTGTGCTGGTACTGATGGTTCGCGGAAAATGGCATGGAGGGGGCTCTTTCTTCGCAACATATTGAACATGTCACTGCTTATGAACATGTCAGATTGAAGCGCAACACAGGACTGGCCGAGCGTCTGCAAGTGCGGTATCAACATCTGCGTCAATCACCTGCACAAAGCTCTGTCGAGTCAAAGGTGGCCAAAACATCAAGAATGACAATCCTGTGAGCAGCAGGCAGAATTGTGCTGCTCGTCGTCTGAGATGCAGATCAGAGTCGCTGAAAAGCGCCCCTAGACCTCATACATGTACCTGATTCCCTATGAGGAAATATTTGGCAGCGGCGATTTTGAAGAAAAAAGTGGCCACACCCCTGCAAGGACCTAAAATAATCAATGCCACCTCCCTCTTTTGATTACCCTGATCCTGCTGCTTTGCACCTGATTAATTGGTCGCAGAAATAAGAAGCCCTGCAGCACGACTCCACAATCAATAGTTCAAGGTCCGAGCAATCTCCGCATCAGTCTCGATTCCTCCTGATGCTTTTTAACACATCCCTCCCTGCTGCACTCGCTTCAGGCGCGTCAGCCCTACATTTAGTAGTAGCTGCATGTGGTGCCCAGTAGCTATGCCCAAAATCTCCAAAACCGGCCGCGGTGTACTGACAGTCATAAGTTGCAAGGCCGAAAGATGTGGTAGCAGTAGTCGCCGTTTTTGTGCAAGCAGTGCGATGACTCAACTTTGGCCACCCATGTACGATGGAGCGCACATCCTGATCGGGATGGAATGAAACTACCCATGCTAAAATTTTAGCAAGCGACACATTCAGATGCTGCTTGCAATCCGTTCCCCTGGCACTAAGCTGCCAATCTCCCCCAAGGATATGTATTCCCGGTAAAAAGCCACACAGAGCCGGAGAAATTTTTGATTTGGGGCCAGGGGGGCCGTTATTAGGGAAGGGATTACCTCGCTGTGCTTCCAGCATGTGGCTGCTCATCATTGGCGCACGATCGGACATCAGCACTGGCGCAAGCATCGTTAATCGTTGTTAAAACCCATTCTTTCTGTACGTCTTTCCCTAAAGCCTCAACCCAAAACCACTACTGCTGGTATTCCTTCTTCAGCGCGGTAGGACAGGCAGGCTACTGTTTCGGTTTCTTGCTAGTCTTGCCATGCTTTGCACAGCTGCTGAAGGCTTGCTCCAAAAAATGTAGACCCCGTCCTCAAGTCCTGAACCTCAACCTGGGAGACTATCCATGAATGTACAGGTGGAAATGTCTATAATGTCGAAGCCAAGTAATGCAAAACATGTCGCGCCATATTCATATATAACTACGAAGAAAGCGCAAGTGATAGTGCCTAAAGGCAGACGGTTGAAACATCATACTGCTTGATTATCGGAAGCCGATTCGTCTCTCTGCATGCGCACTCACGGATTCTTGGGTTCAGGGACCCCTCCCAGACGTAGCAATCTGTTCCAGGTAGCTCAGCTTCCGTTCAATGGTTCCAACCAGGCGCAGATAGTTCTTTCCCAAAGTTTGCTCTTTTCGCATCCCGACCAAAGCACGGCATGCATTCAATGCTCTCTTGAGCTGAAGGCCAACTAACCCTTCCAAAGCCGAAAGAGGGCCCCGGACCACATTCTGTACCCCTCTAAACATACAAGACAGGCCTCTTGCTGGTACTTGAGCGTCCAGTACGCATCTGTTTTGTTGTCGGACCATTCGTAGAGACCTTTCAAGCCAATTCAACAGCATCTACTTGAGAAACATACGAAGAATAATCACCTCCCTGCCACCCTTGAAATATTCACCGTTAAGACAGACCCCCATCCAACAAACCACCTCTCACTGTTGCCCAGAACTCTGAAACCCTGAACGCCTACTTGCCGTGAACAGCCTCCCGCACCAGTCTCGCTGATAAAGAAGGGCTTGTCCTCCCAGGCTTTTCGAATAAATCTATCTACTAAGTTTAAGTCTGATGCCTGAAACTTCGTGGGAATCCTCATCTGCGGAAGAATCTCCAGCGCTTCTACATGTTCGGCTTCAACCCATTCAGGAAACTCATTCAAATTTATACTGGGGGCTGCAGTGCATGCCCCTTTGACAAGCAAAAACATCTCATTGAAAACGTTCTTTGGAACTCGGGAAGATGTATGTGTACAACGGGGATTGTAAAAGGATCGTCTGCCCAGCTTCCGAAGTAACCAAGTGCTCAGGCCTGAGTGTAGTCCAGGGCTGAACGCTTCCTGAAAGTTCATGATGTCATGCCCCGCAAAATGTGAATCCTCTTGCCCTTCCCTGAAATCCTACAGCGCTACACCCTACCCTCCAAGCCCAACATTCCTCAACCCTATATGGTAGTTTCCGTGAGTAGGGGGCCCTAACGTAAACCCAAACATATCACTCGCAATGGGTACCCCAAGAGGGAGCCCTGAGTTTTGGAAACCAACGGGCCTTTGAATCCCAAAGCCCTCAGCCCCAAACCCGAAGTGTCCGGAAAGTTCTGCCGCGCCCAAGCAGCGCTGCTGGTCCACTGGCCTGCTGAATGGAAAAGAAAAAGAAAACTATTACGTATACAGGGTTCAGGGTTTAGGATTGAGGATTGAAAGTCAGGGGGGCTTAGTAAGTGTACTTGTAGCCACGATGGAATATAGCAACCCAAATTATCCGATGCCTGGACCTACTTACAAAGTGTCCTTTTTCTGCATGTAGGGTATGGGAAAAAGGCTTGGGGTTTGACCCTAAACCAAAACCAGGGTTTGATGCTTCGGCTTTGTGGGTTGAAGATACAGGGGCACATATAACCCCAGTAACGGAGTATGAAATGGAAAAAGAAAATGGAAGAAGAAATGGGGGCTGGGATTGTGGGGTCTACAGTGATTGTAGAATTTGCGGTTTGGAGTTTGGTCTTAGTTTTTTAGGCTGAGAGAATCTAGAAGAGCTAGGGGGTTCTTGGTTGGCACATAATGAAGACTGTAGTCCATGGTATTTGAGGGAATATTGCAAAATACTTACAAAAGGGTACAACAGGTGTGAGGCTGGGGTTAAGGTTTAATGCCGCTTCGCATCAAGTCAAATCTTATCCAGACTGTGTTGAGTATTGCATCATACGTCAGAGTTTGGCTCCAGTCACTCCATAGATTAGCACTGTTCCTGCCCATCGTGCCCAAGCTTTCGCCCACAGCCATGAACCGCCCACAGGCAGGGTTTGAGGATTGAGGGGCGGAGAAACAAATAGAAAAGGAACATGGAGCATGGAATGGAAGCTGGGATTACATGGTGGTTCAAAGGGGGTGGGCAATGATTTGTGCGGCGTTGTAGTGGAAGTCCACATGCCAAGGCACGCTTTGGCGCCGCCAGGTCATGCTTGTCCGAATACCAGGCTGGATAATTGTTGAAGCTCACGGCCGTCGCCTCACTGGTGCTTCTGGTTAGGATTAGGGTTAGGGGTCCTAGCCCGATGAAGGAGCAGCCAATGCAATGGAGAAGAAAATGGAACATGAAATGGAACATCGGATTATAGGGGTGTACAACGTGTTTCTCTTGGGCTTTACGTGTGAGTCAGAACCGTCTCATTGCGCCAGGCGTAACTTTGGGTTGGGATTTTTTGGGCAAGTTCATTGGGTTGCATTTTACGTCCGCCATGCGCTGGCTACGGTACGTCAGTAGAGCTTCAGGGACGCTACCTCGCGCGTCGGCGCAGTTTGCAGTGGGTTGGACCTGAAATGTGCTGGTGTTCTCTGAGTTCTTGCTCCGTTTTAGGGTATTTGTGTTCGTATGGAATAGAGGCTAGACCTGCTCAATGGTCTAGGGTATTTAGCGGAACCAACATATCCTTCCTCGCCCTGAGCCCCGACCTCTCAACGTTGAACCCCCATGCCCAGGATGCTAAGCTTCAACCCTCAAACTCCAAGCTCTGGACCCTAAACTTCCCCAAACCCTATACAACCCAATAAAACCCCATATAACCCTACATACCCCTCAACCTCAAGCCCTAGACCCCTGACTTCTGAGGACCGTCCGCTCAGGCAGGGCGCATACTGCAGGCACTTGTCCTCCTCTCTCTTGTTGGAAGCCCAGGTTCGAAACCTCGTGGGATCCTGCTGGCATTAGGCGGTTGTATCAGGCTTGTACAGGGATTAGACGGGGTTTATAGAGCGGGACGTATAAGATTTATAAGGATTATATAGCACGGTTTAGGGTTGGAGGGTTTGTGGCATCTCTCGAATATGCTGAGCCTTTAGTATTTATACAAGTTCCAGTCGGATACATAGCCCCTGTCCCTTGTTTTAAAGGCACATACGCATTCACGGGCATCTGCGCGATTGACACTGGCAGCTTGTAAGACTTTACCAGGATCTGGCATAGTGCCATTTTCATGCGCATGCTGCATGACGGGGGCCGCAGGCTAAATTAATTGCTGTGATTCCTCGTTGCTTTGTACATGGAATATGAAGGAACATCTTCAGTTTCTTCTGGTGCTATTCCATTCAAGTGCAAGCCATAACCAAAAGGAACTACAAGCCCTTACGCCAGCAGGCCCAACTTCAGCCACTCGTCCTGGCCTAGAGGAACAAGGTTTTAAGCGACTCTCTGATGCAGAATCGCGCTGACAAGAATTCCGGCTCCATGCGGCTCCTTCCCTAGTCACGTGTTCATCTTCAACCCTCGACTACACAGCCTCCCCAGCCCTTATGGCCAACAAATCTTAAAGCCTAAACCCTGAACCCTGGCCCGAACAGGCATGTAACCTGAAAACCCTTCGCGCACTAAAGAAGAACATCGCGGGGTCGGGGGGGCGGGGGCTCGCGCAAGTTTCGGGGAGATTTGGGCCTCAACCCGGAAAGCTTTTAGGGTTCAGGGTTTAGTCTAGTGTTTCGGGCTTAAAGTCCTGAAGCCTGGAATCCTGAGCTTCCATGTAATCTTACGAAGTTTCAACTTCCCAAGCTGGTCCGCTTCGGCCGCGCGAAGCGAACACTGGAGATAGGCCTCTCGCGGCGATCACGTGCTTTGAGTTCAGTGGACTGCTTGAAAAATGGAAGATTACTTAATCGCATATCGGCACTTTTGCTGAGAGTGGGGGGGTTTAAATCATTAGAGTCGTGGTGGTGCTCGCTACTAGAAGTGTTGAAGGTATGTTGGGGAATAATAGTTGTAATTAATCAGACCTATACACTACTTCTTCAACTTAGGGCCCAAATGGACCCCCAGAACAAAATAGCACTCATTCCTTACTACAAGGCTCCTCTGATAGGAGGCTCTTGTATCTTGCTTGGCGTATAAACGGGAATCAACCAATGAAAAGAGCATGGCAACTACTGTATCATTTGGGGGGTTATGGAGGATCCTCGGAACACCTCTTTCAGGTTGTCGTCAGGACGGCTTCCTTTCAAAAAATTAGTGAGGGTATCAGTAATAATATGGAGGCCTGTATGAAGGTAAACATTGGTATTGGTACGAGTAGTACTATTCAGTCTGAACCTAAGGTTCTCTTATAGCAAAAGCCTACGTTTTTGTAAGATACGCAAGGACCCATGCCAAATCATGCTGGAAGCACAGGCCTCGTATAGTATAGAACCAAACTTGGAAACACACTCCATTTCGTTGAGGCGGCTCGCAAGAGATCACTTGCTATTAAATGGTCCAACTGACATTTCGAAACTCCTGCTTCCCTTCCCAGCCCGCTTTGTTTCTAACCGGTCCTTGTCCAGGTTTTTTGGTCGTTCGAGGTTGCATTCCGTGTCAACGGGGTGGGTAATGGGACGGTGATTGAAATCACCTGTGTAGCATGAGGAGGAAATTCACCGCACAAAAGTATGAATATTCCCGTGAAAGTGGCATGATAAACGGTGCACATCTCCCCTCGCCAACTAACAGGGTACCCTCTGTTACCAGGAAGGTTCTCCTCATAGGACCTGCTTTGGGAATCCATGTAAATTTGGTAATTTCCCTAAATAGGAAGACCCCAATGTAGACCCCAAAATACTATAATCCTTATTATAGGGTTCCCCAAAAGGTACCCCTAATTTTGGGACACCCCCATTTGGGGGTAAGGCCTAGGTATCCATTCCTTTTGGGGTGCATGGTGACAGGGCCTGACAGGCTGCCTCATTGTTGGAAGGTCCTCACCGAAGCAAGGCTCAGGAGTCTTGCAAGCATGTGACCATGTGAGTAGCGTTTTTTTGGGTGGTTGAACCTAGTTGTATAGGGATAAAGAAACCAAAATGGAAACCACTATATTATAATAGGGTATATCTTGGGGTTATATATATTGAGTAGCTTTTTTTGGGGGTAGTTGAACCTAGTAAGATGATATTCCTTACAGAAAAGACCATACCCCAAACGGAGGATATAATCTTACTCTATATTGGGTACCATAATATCCTCAAATAAAATACTACTCATGTGAGGCCTGGACCAAAGTTATAGTATATTCCCTAAAGGTCTCCCACAATCCCCCTATACATCCCCCTACAGGTCCCCCCCAACCTAACTTTGGTCCGTAGCTCATGTCTCAAAACAAGCGCGTCATTCAGACCCCCAGAATCTTGCACCATACTACAGGCTGTAGCACAGTAATAACCCTTCCCCCAAGAATAACACCCCCACCAGGTTGAAAATCAAAGTTCCCCATATGATGGAAAAACAGAGCAAGCCCTCATGCGATGTATCTGCCCTGAGCTGACGAAAAGTCAATGACTGGTGACCACCCGAATAGGGTTTAGGGTTCTTATTTCGGACGGCTCCACTAAATGTTCATTGATCGAAGGGTTCATTGAATTTCATTCAGGGAAGCATGGGATCCAAGATTCGGCCCCGAACTCATCACTTCGTCATGAGGAGCTCAATCAGAAACATCCTAGGGTTTGGAGAGATGAAACTCCGTGCACATTAAATTCAACAAGGACACAACAAGGAAAACCAACATCCCAAGGTTCGAATTCAGGCCTGAGACCGGCTCAATATTAGTAAAGAATCTAGTGAGGCAAGCCAGGATCCGTGGATTTTGAATTTCGAGCTCCAGTCCGAACATTAAAATGACGGAGGATGACGGAGGAATTATATAACAAATGCAGGACCAACAAATGCACAACCCGAACAAACGTTGGAAGACAGACTAGGATCTGGTATGCGTGATATCATAGAAGGCCCCGCAAAAGCGTCAGCAAGTCTGATGTCCAAGGCCGACGTGGTGAAATAATCGCCCACGCAAGAAACACACTGAAATGACGAACGCTGCACACAGCGTTGTTCAGAAGCAATTTGAGATTTCGGATATGACTGCTTTTTTGGAGGCTCCCTAGCATGCACTCAAAATGGCTAAAAAAGATAGCACCACAAACCTGAATGCAGACGCGCGGCACGTAATTCGCGTAGACTACACGCTCCACTCACGACGCGATGTCCAGAACACACAGCAAGGACACTCAACCTTTCATTCAAACCTCCACTCTGCAGCCCACTGCCCACTCTACTCTGCATTCGCTCTGCATTCTCTGCACGTCTGGGGCCTGGTTTGGAGGTTTTAATGGAGTTTCTGGCTAAGAGTTAGTAAGATTTCTGGGTACCCAAGGACGTGGTCAGCATTAGCATGGAAACCCACCCAGGTGCTTGGACTGGCTGATACCTGGCCAATGGCTAGTCTCCTGGAAACCATAGAACCCGCCCAAGTACCTGGCTGGCTGGTGAAAAACCTCCATCTATGGAGATTTGCTTTAACCGAGCTGAAAAAAACGCGGTGGAAACGGATGGGCAGGACGGTCCTTCGGCTCAGCAAAACGGGAAATAAGCCTGAAAACGGGCGGGGGAAGGCGGACCTGGACTGACACAGAAAAATCCAGTCACCACCTTACACCTAAACTCCCAGGCTCGCATGTCCCCAAATCCTACAAACCCTACTTGGGCTTTAATGAAGGCGTTTCGCAACAAAGTCCTTCATTAAACCATGCCCAGGCCATGATGGAGGGGTGGTTCATGCTTGCTGCCAGCATCTCATCCACCTGCTGCAGCCTTGGAAGGGGCTCCGGTTTAGATTTTAGAGCTTCAGGTTTTTTGCCCAACCCGAGATTTTAGGATCTGGGATGTAGAGTTTAGGATTTGAAGTTTAGGCTTTAGATTTTAGGGTTTAAGGCCACTTGCCGAACTCTAGGGTCTGCAGGTTGAGATTGAACTGAGGGGATAGAATTGAGAGATTGGACTTGGTGTTAAGGGTTGCGACACAGGAAGATTACCCAAAACTAGTGTGCTCCTTGAAGGGCTATGAGACATATAGGCATACGCATGTATCTTCACATGGGTGCGCCGACACGCAACTCAATACCTACAGCTCCATGCATTATCTTCTCGAGCCTTGACGGAACCCAGAAATTCTGAATGATCATGGAAACTGCATGACTGGTCGTAGTGCTTTCAGCTCCTGTAAACGATGCTCCTACTGGAAAAGCAATGTCTGTGGATCTTGTTCAGCCAGTCCAAGGAGGGATGGCATGTCTGTAGGATTGTCTCTGACAAGTATTGTTTGTGATTTTGCGGGCATATGAATAATAAGTACCATAGCATTTTGGGGTCTATATTGGGTCCCCGCGTTTTGGGAAACTACCATATTCCTGTCAGTGGGAAGCTAGGTCCGGGACTGTCAAAGCTTGCAACCCATGCTTGCGCAAGTCTGGGGACTTTCAGGTAGTAGTAAGAATAGTAATAATAATGATAATAGTGCGTAGTAATAAGAATAATAATGGACAAGAAAAATGGAAGCTACCATAGTATACGGTGCCTGATCCGCCCAAAGAGTGGCTTCAAGTAGGCTTGCGCAGTCTTGCAGATTGCTGCCTGACGTTAGAAAAGCCAAACTGTGTTTTGAGTTCATGTGCTTTGGCCCTTAGGCGGAAAGCCGTCCTTCTCGCCCATTCTTAAACAATACACGTCCAACTCCAAGCTGCACAAACCTGAGTCCGAACTGCGAACTTCCACCCACAAGGCTTTTGACCCACTTCATCCCCATGGGTGATTCAGGACTCAGTATGATATACAATAATAAGCCTAGCCTAGGACAGGTCCTGATGAAGGCCTTGGCAAGAATCCCCCAAAGACCTGAATCCCAAGGCCAAGCATACGACAAATTACCAAGCGTGCAATCAGTGTATGCTTCCTTTGGAATTAGAAGCCTTTATACCTAGATCCCCTAGACTCAGAACATTGAAGGGGTACACAGGGTGGACGGAGTGTATCCCATCTAGCGAACCCTGATCCTCCTCCATGTCATATAATCATGGCTGCTACGCTCTATTATCCCCGAGCGAAAGCCTAGTTTTGCAAAACAACAGACGAGGTAGGCATTCATGTTTTGCAGACATCGCCCATACACAGCCGCCTAGCCATGACCATCCACATATGCGTTGCCCCCTCCTGCCTTTAGACACAGTAGTAAGTAAGCATCATACAGTTTCTTTGAAGCGCATTTTCCTACTGGTCGCATCTTCCTCTGTCTGGGATGCGAACCTCAGGTCCATAGCGGAAGGTAAGTTGCCTGTGTGCAACTTTAGTGCCACCACGTCAGCCCTATAGCCCAAGGTGGTGATTGCTTGGACATGATCTCAGCTTGGAATCCCTCGCGCAGCCTCCTTTGCTGCTATTGCGTCTGCCACCGATCTCCGAAACGTCTGTGCATGCACAACACTCCAGCAGCATGTGCTTGTCTCATGGTGTCTATTGGTACTTGCGAGGCTGAGGGCTGTGTTGTTCTCCTTGGCCAGAAGCTGCGTGCTAGCGCCAGCTTCCACCAATACCCGCACGATCTCGGCATGGCCTTCTGCAGATGCATGCATCAAGGCAGTATAGCCGCGCTTGCCCTGCAAGTTCTTGCACGCACCAGCATTCAAAAGCAGCTGGACTATCTCAACATTTCCCGTGTCAGATGCATAAATAAGGGCTGTGTAGCCGCCCTTGCCCTGCCTATCCGTTGCAGCACCAGCGTCCACCAGCAACTTAACAATCTGCAAATGTTTTCGGCACATGCGAGAATAAGCGCTGTGTCGCCATCCTTGTCCTGGCAGTCCAAGTCAGCGCCAGCAGCCAACAGCCGTTCCACAATCTTGACATGTCCCTTTTCCGAAGCTAACATAAGAGCCGTGTCGCCATGGTTGTCCTGCATGTTGACATTGGCGCCAGCTTGTAACAGCAATTCTGCAACCTCGAGATGGCCTGCATCGCATGCATAAATCAGTGCCGACTCTCCAATCAAGTTCTGCCACAAAATCAGTTGAGCACGAGCCTGCAACAACAGTCGCACAAGCTGGATATGGCCCATGGCAGATGCAACCTGGAGAGCCAAAGTGGCATACAAGATGCTGGCTCGTGTGTGCATCCTAGGCCTACCAGCTTCTAACAGCAGTCGGGCGACCTCTACATGGCCATTGAAACATGCGCTTACGATGGCTGTAAATCTGCCTTGCCCGGCTCGCACTTCTGTGTCTGCATGAGTCTCCAGGAGCAGTCGGACGAGCTCAACATGACCTTTGAACGATGCGAGGCTCAAGGCTGTCTCGTCGCCAACAACGTCCGGGAAATGCAAGTCCTTGGGGACCCCGGCTTGTAACAACAAACGCGCCACTTCCACATGACCCTCAGAAGCTGCATATTGGAGGAGCTCTTTCGCGCCCGCATGTTGCTGCTGCAAAGTGCTCAGGGCGGTCAGCAACACCAGCTGAAGATCCATCTTCACGTCCAGGATCATGAAATCTTCGAGGCACTTCCCATCATGCAGGACCTGCTGAAGGCATACTGGGAAGTTGTGCAGGTTGCGCAGGTGCTCTTTCAAGCTCTTTACATCACTCTTCTTTGATGCCTGCGGGGCCATGGCGGCCAGCTTTCGCCCGGAAACCATCCAAACATGCAGCATGGATGAGGAGCTCCCGGATTGCCTAGAAATTCTGCATCGCATTTTTTGCCAGGACCCCTCTACCTGTCGAAAGCAATGTCCATTACTGCTTAATGCAACTACACAGTTACCTGCCAGGCCATGTGTTACCACCGCCGCTTCCACTTCAGTTGATGAGAGGCCCTGTGAGCAGCTTGGCCACAACTGTTGTTGTAGCGGTAAATAACCCACTAACCCCTACAATCCCTGTAGTTTCCATTTTCTTTTCCAGTATCCCAATATTACCCCAATATAGCGTCCTGTACAATTTCATAAGCCCGAAAGAACCTCAAGACACCCTAAGGCGTCCTGAAAGCCAAGCCCACAGCTCTATAGTCCCCTTAAATAGATAGAATATGGGGTAATCTTTTGGATTATTTTAGCGTTATATGGGAATCATGGAAAAGAAAATGGAAAGTGCTTTAATGGGTTATGTAGGGTATAGAATATGGGGTATATGGGGATCTCATTATAATATACCCAAAGCCGTTTTCTATCTGCACAAAAGGTTTTTAAACAGCGTAATCTGGAATAATTTCTTTGGTACATGTCCCTATATAAACCACCCTTTTTAGGGTGAGGTCGGGTGAGGTCGCTTTAAATTGCCCAGTCTAAAGTGGTATAGTGAATATGCACAATATGGACTTGTTCCTATAGGTGCGAATGACCAGAAAATTGAGCTTCAACACTATGATACTGTGCCAACCGCCATGAGATCCAGGTACAAGATGCAGATCCCAATGCGTAATCATGGAGCCCAACAGACGATACAGTACTATCTCAGATCTTCCTTAGTTTGGGACAGTAAGCCCTAAGCCCTCAAACCTCCGAAAAGGTCTCATTGAGGCAGCCGCTGGTACTTCATGAAGTGACCCCAATCCTGCAATTGGCCCAAGACAGGTTGCAGGTCTAGGGAGCAGGCTCAGGGTAAAGGCAAGCATAAATGACTACCGATATCTTTATTATCAGTATATTCCCGTGAGTGGATTAGGGTGTAGGGTTTAGGGATTAAAGGGAATCTAGAGAGTTTAGGGATCGTGGAGAATCAAATAGACATGAGTATGGAAAAATGGAACCTGTGGTTATGAAGGGGTTTATAGAGATATTGCCACTGTCGTGGTTCTAGATTCCTTGCAAATTTTTCGTATGATGTACCTGAAGAAACCTCAAAACTATATTGGTGGTTATTTAGGCGCCTACATTACTTGTGCCGGTGCTAGGTTGCTGCAACATTCTACTATGGACTCGATTAGCACTGGGGCTACTAAGCAGGACTCCAAAGCAAAAGCCAGCAGGCAGAGCTTTGCGCGCAACATCCGGGATTCGCTGCTCTGGCTACACAACACTACTCGTTAGCATGCTGTACCTGTGGCACATCCACTACTTGAAGAGCTTCAGAGATACAAGTAGCTTTAAGCGGACTGACAAGTAGGATGGCCGCACTTATAGTTTGATTAGTCCCTGGTATACTTGCCTAGGAACCTCCGAGCACATGCTCTTGTAACTTTGGTAGCTTTCAAACTATCATCCCCTTTGGGTTCGCATAACTGTACTGTGCCACTCTGCATACGTCACCCTGCATTTCAGGGTCCCTGCAAAGGATCTTGATTTGAACAGTGGGGCCATGGGGAGTGTATGTCACGTTCAGTTGACAGAGGCGAGTGACGCATGTAGAGAACTTGAGGTGGTACAGGATTCCCTCCATCAACTAAGAGCATGAGGTCTTCATCTGCTTGTTGTTCAAACCTGGGCTTGTCATCAGCTTCTGGCATGTGAGAAGCGCAGACCTTAATGCCAACAGCCTGTTGCATAGCAGGGCCACACCCCATCAGCCCAAGCGATTCAAAACAAATGACCGCAATTTTGACACTTCACAAGCCCCAAGCCCGAGGTGCCCTTCCACGTCCACTTCTCAGCCTCTAGATAAAGGAAGGCTCCTGCAAGTCCTCGACGCCCACACCCGGCCCGAGAGTTTCTTCCTGAACTGAGAGGTTAGTTTGGGGAACCCCTGGGGGCAACCCCTTGGAAGATTATAGCATTTCGGGATAGGGGCCTGAAGCATGGCCATAGAGATGAGCCGCAGGCTATGTAAGGATGAACCGTATAAATGTTGTATGCAATTTGGAGAAAGTCTGCAAGCCATGATTTCCGCTTGGAGTCGCAGTAAAAGATGCCAGGTCATCACAATAAGAACGCAATATTATAAAATCAGAAAAACTATATAAAAGCCACTTGGGTCTGTTTCTGGAAGTCGGCAAAAAAACCAAAGGTCATATGAAATTCATACGCCGGAAAATTCCAAATATTATAGCATCTACTCAGTCCCTCCAACAAGAAAGAATCGGTCTAGCAAATGGCCCAGGAGCCCACATGGCTATGCCAGCTTCATCCAGTCGGTCCAACCAGCGCTGATCTTGGGGGTAGTGCCTTAGGAACACAAAAATGCAAGTCTGAGCATTAAAACTGTTGAATTTGGTTGTCCAATGTCAACTTTAACCTTCAAGCTTGTCATCGTTGACGCCGGTGTTGTTGTTGCTGCTGCTGCTGCTGCTGCTGCTACCGCTACCACTCACTAACGCATGATGATGATGATGATGACGATGATGATGATGGTGAGGATGTTGATAATTCATTACATCCACCACCTCAAAACCTTTACTTATGCTTAGAAGTTCCCGATTTGTCTGAGCACTGCTGCCGCTGCATTCGGACCTGCGAGTCCTTAAAGCCAAGAGCCTCCCCTCGAGCACTACTCTCCAATACTACAGCCTCTTAATATACTATAATATACTAGAATATACAACAATGGGGTGAATTTAGTATTGGGGGGGGGGGGTGTTTAACATTGGGGGGAGGATTTCCTGAAAAAAACACAGCTTAATCATGGGAAACCTCAAAATACCGTAATAGCCACTAAATATAGCGTCAATAGGGTCTCAATATACCTGCTATAATCCTTCGTGGTACCCATTACTGGGTGGAAGATTGACCCAACCCGGACAGCTATGCCTATGCAGAGCCTAACCCCCACATCCTAGACTCAGTTTCCATTCCATGTTTCATGTCGTCTTCAATTTTGATTCTCCATGATGGAGATACACGCCTATAAAACCTTGTATAGTCCCATAAAACTCCTATACATTCCCGTATGACCCCTTATATTCAAACTCTGAATCCTGATTCTCTGTTCAGATGCGCCCCCCGGACATAGTTGGCATTGCCTTCCTTCAGCAGCGCCAAGTCCTTTCAGTAGTTTGTGTTGTTTTGTCTCTGCAACACCTCCTATGGGGGATCTAGGGGTATATAAGGAGTTTACGGCTTTCCGTCCTTTCAAACACAGTACTCTGACGAGGCCAAGAAAAATTGCCAGGCTTTTGCTCTCAGCCGAATCTATTGGGGCTTAAAGGGCTACACCTCGGGATTTGGCTGGAATCTAAATGAAGTTACCAGCACGGAGGACCAAATGGAAAGAACATGGGCAACTAAATGGAAACTTTGGGATAACTACGAATATGGCCAATTTTTGAAACTCTTGGGACGGGTTTCCCCATCTGTGACCGTCAATTGAGTGCAAGCACCGCTCACCCTCAAGGCTGTCTATGTTCTCATGCAAGCAGAGAAACGAAAAAGCAACAAGCCCTGAAGTTAAGTGATGTACAAGATTACCATCGTTAGCCTATAGCCCACAGACGCCCTCAATTGTAAACCCCTAAATCTCAGCCGTTGGTCCGTGTCGAGCTGGCTATCTGTCGGAGAAGCGCCTTGCAGCACGCAAGATTCAGGCTTGTCATGTCGTTGGAATGCTGAGGCGGAAGCCTATACCTGGGAGCAGTGTGGGGGGGATGTGTGTCAGTTGACGGATTGACCAATGACAAAGGGTTTGTGATGTAGAGGCCTAAAAGAGTTGAGTACATTCTCTGGCTGAGGAGATGACTTCAGTAAGTGCGCGTATAACTTCTTGCCATGGCAAAAGCAGAAAGCGCCTTCAAGCATTGGAACAGGCACGCAAGCGGGAAGGCTTAATGCTGTGGTTCTCGGGCATCGTAGACAGTAGAACGGCAGTGCACGGGGAACATATTAGGCGGAAACAAAGATTTGACCACCTCAACCTCGCAACACGCAGGAAAATCTGTTTTAGCTGTCCATGCATTAGTATTGCACGACACGTTCACACGTTCAGGACACCCTGTGAAGACTATGCAGGAATTCCGACCTGCACACAAAAACTAAAGCTTTATCAACCACGGCCCAGCTGCCACTGTCTTAAACTGAACTGGAATTGGTATTCGTGCTACCCTTGCAGACCAATGCAGAATCCGCATACACTGACCTCAAAAACCTGTCCAATGCTTCTGCTTTGGGACAGACTGGAGCCCACAACATTTAAGGTTGGATGCCTTTTTTCAACCTGTTAAGCCTCTGTTCTACAGGCCGTACTCAAGGGATCAGGTATACTCAACAATTGGAAAATTAGCCAATTTCGTACAAGTGATAAGATACCCTCAACATCACAGATGTTGCCCCTCAAATGCCTGTGTCGATCCACTGTGTGTGGTGATTCCAGCCGTGAAGCTTGACTGCCTTTCGCACTGGCGTTCTAGGGCTTGAAGGGGCGGAGGTAACAGGACAGCGTGACTAGACAAGCACTGATGTGAATCACTTGTGGTTGTTACACTGGAGGAGGAGGAGGAGGAGGAGGAGGAGGGAGGGAGGAGGGAGGAGGAGGGAGGAGGGGTAGACATGGTGATGGTCTCTGACCCAAAAGAGAATCTACCAAGGAGGTTCTGCTCCCTCGAACCAACAATTTACATAACTAAAAAAGGAGCCGTTTGGTGCCGCCATAATTCACCCAGGATTACTGCGCACAGGGTTGTTGGAAGCAAGGAAGCAGCTTACCAAGCTCCCAAGCCCTACAGTGCTATGAAGGACCCTTGAGTTGAGCAACATGCTTAAGGTTTAGGGTTTAGGGTTCTATATAGGGATAATGGAAAAGAGAATGGAAACTACTATATAGCATTTTGGGGATTCTATAGGGATCGTGGAAAAGAAAATGGAAACTACTTTTGTCCTCACAAAACACACCATAAGTAGTGTCTTCAAAGTAGAGCCTGCGTGATGTCATGGTCTTGTGTTGGAGAAAAGCAATTGATGCACACAATGGTTATAGAGGTATAAAGTATGCCTGCCCTTCCTGTCACACTGATCCCTAAACCAATTACCTTTCAGACATGCCCACTCGAACCCTGGGCCTGCCCATCCCTTTCAAAATCAGCTGGGTTTGACATCAGAAATCCTAAGTTCTTGAATGAATTCTGGCAGACGACAAGGCTATCCAAACAGCTATCTGGAAGAAAGTAAAACCAACAATCCGAACTCACAAAGAAACAAGTCGGGAATACGCTTGTTTGTGTTTGTTTGGTCTGTCTTTTGCTTCCCGGTCTTTGTTTTTGCGGCTTAGTTTATGTGACTTCCCGGGGCTGGGCTCCGTGGCTTTTGGTGGAATGGGTGCTCGGAAGCCAGCAGGTTTTCAAATTTCTGCTGCTCTTCTTTTCTTTGCAGCCGTGTGGACCGCTGACTTCGATTTTTGAAATGTGTTGCAATGAGAAGTCGCACAGAAATCAACTAGTAAGCGAATCCCGAATTCTAGTCAGATCTGAGATTTCCCTCTTCCATATAGTTTCAAATCTTTTGGAACGAAGTTTATTGAAAATCAAAGTTTTCTTGAAACTCAAGCGAATGCGCAATCCTTACAGCCCTTTTGAAAGCATCCTTCATGCTTGCTAAAACTTCCTAGGTTCAAGGTACATCTCCTGATGGGTTCCGTTCAAGAAGTAGTTCTGCGCTTGCAGAATTTCTTAAACACGCGGCTACTTTTCTGTA